GGCAGGTGCGTGCGCATTCCAGACATCGGGGTGTAATTGTGCATCGAAGTACGATGCACCTGTCGACTAAGACATGTTAATGTGCTGCATGTTTCACGGACACACACAATTTTAATAAAAGTAAAGATTAACTGGCACAACTCTACGCACACGAGTGTGTGTCCAACCTATGAAGTATAGAACGTATATCACGACCTCCGATAAGATAGACAAATGAATTGTAGCAAACCAACGATCACAAACACGGGTAATTGTTTATATTAACATAACAAAAAAATATCCTATAAACAAAGTACGCAGAAGGTGGACATAAGTTAAGCTGCTTTATAAATATATTAAGTGTGCAAGTTGTATGCATTTTTTTAAACCAATAACTACGTCCGTCTCGTGTATACAATATATTTTTATATGTCAATTGTAGTACACGTGACAATGTTTATCACCTCTTTGCGCTCTTCGACTATGTTTCCTGAAAATGCGCGTACGTTTTCTTCGGTACACCCCAGAGAAAAAGTACGGTGCTAAGACGAAGTTCAAAGATACTCTTTTTAAGTTGGAAGTTAGTTGGTACATGTTTAAATGTGTTGGGACACATTGACATGAGTTCGATAAACACTAACAAACTGATTACATAGTACAAATAAACACACCAACTGATTACAAAATACAAATAAACAAATTTTCAACGCAAGAAAATATGACATGTACATATGTAAGGATATATTAAAGTCGTATCAACTCACGGTAAACGTTGAAAAGCATAATTTTTTGCCTTGCATTTTTTCTGTTGGGAGTGGGGGTGATTAGACTTTGATCTTGTGTCCTTCTAGTTCTACAGAGGTTGTGTCCTTGCAAGTTGTCGATTTTGTGTCCTTTTACTTCACAAGATCGAAGTCTAATCACCGTACAACTGGAAGGACGCAAGATCGAAGAGACAGCATCAGTGTTTTTCGCACGCAAAAAGGCATGTTGATCCTGTTGTGAGTAGTCTTCAATTTTGTGTCCTTCCAGTTGACGTGGGCGATGGTGACTCTCTCTCTCTCTCTCTCTCTCGCGTGCGCGCGGGCGCTGTCGATTTATCAAAGTTTTGCAACGTATGGTTATGATGACCGTGTCTACAATGACCGTCATTATAGTTGCATTTTGGGCAACCTGATGTTTTGAGGGTTAATCACAGGAAAATTGTTTATGATGAGGACATCGATAATTGGTTATAGTTTTTTCTACGTCTATAGCCTAGGTCTACTCCTTTCTACCACCAGCCCTCCATGAAGGTCTTCTTCCTCACCCCGAGCTCCTCCTTTAACCAAGAGTTCTGCCTAATTCTCCCTCGAGGTTGAGCAATATTACGAGTGTTGGGTAAACTTGAATGTCTGGGTTATTCATTGTATCCAATGTGGTACCCATGACTCTCAACATTCAGAACACGTACCCCAGGTGGTCTCAGCCTTCACAGGTGCATTAGGTCCAACCACTATTTTATGCCTTTTGGAGAGAACATCATTGCAACTTGCTATCCAGTTTTAACGTCTGAACCTATCCTAATATCCACCTACATTCAGGCCCCGGACCATGAGAAAGGGTGTCGAACATGGATCCTGACCAAAGATGAAATGTTTATGGATCTTGACCGAAGCACTTATCAAACCATGAAATATTTGGAATGAATGAGGGGCAATCTCAAAGATGAACAGAAGGCAAACGAAGCAAAATACCAAGTACGCGTTCGATTCATCCATACGATACACGTACCACAATTCCCTCAATTGAAGTTTGACAAGTACTTCGAGTTAGATACATTCAGAAAATTACAATTTTGACTAGAAGGTGTTCAATCTCCAGAGTGAGGTTATCGGATTGCCATTCCATAAAGTTACGACCCCACCATCATGCAACTGTAGCATTTGACATGGTAATGAGAGGCCCCACATGAAAAGGAAAACCATGTGCAGGAACAAGAAAGTCACTCGTGCCTCTCACTCATAAGAAGGGCACAGAGCAACTGTAGCATTTGACATGGTAATGAGAGGCCCCAAATGAAAAGGAAAACCATGTGCAAGAACAAGAAAATCACTCGTGCCTCTCACTCATAAGAAGGGCATAGAGAGAGAGAGAGAGAGAGCAAGGAAAATTTGCATCGCAGAGAGGCCGCATAGGCTAAAATCACCAACCACATTGACCTACTTTCGTTGTACGCAAGCAAAGGCGCGACAAAAATATAGGGTCGTTGACAAATTTATGCCACGCCCCGGTAACTCCCTCACAGGCCCGGGGGGAATGCCCCAGAGTGCCTCCAACGACAACAAGGGCGTGCTAAAAAGATGGATGGTACCGGTAGGGGCATCTTGAAAATTTTCTCGCTGGCTTTTAACGGCCATATGGTAGGGGCATCCTGCAAATTAGGGAGCGGTACCAGTAGGGGTGTAACGAAATGATTTGAGGCCCAAATGACACTGGGGTCTTATGAAAAATTTGAACCCTGCTCAGAGGGGCGCAACGAGGTAAATCGATCGTCGGAGAGGCGCAACGTGAAATAACGCAAATTACAGGGGCGCCAAATGAATTTGTCATTTTCTTTCCCCCTGTAAATTGGTGGAACACTATGCATCAACCTTCTAATAGGATCCATTCATTCCGGAGATAAAACCGAGGATATTTTTTGGGGCCTAACGGTTCGCTTCCGTCGACGCTAACACAACACTCAGACCAGGTGAGAACGTGCGGTAACGCACAGTACATGCAATCGCAACACCTACCACCAGGATAGATGCGCGATGGATATGGGGATCGATACGCCTCGCTTCGTCGTCGCGTCGAGTTGTTTTCTCAGTTTTGTAGACTCCATAGTGCATGTTTGGAATGACCCTAAACGTTGAATAGTCACAATTTCTTAGTTATCCAGTAAAGTGGTTTTCAAACCGCCTGTGCATTTAGTGTTTGTCGTTTCACATTACGATTGCTCACGAATAACTGCTCACTTTTTCATCCCTACCCCCTCATTTATTCTCTACACGCTCAAATCCTCTCTTTCTCACCTTTATCCCCATATCTGTAATACGCTACATTTTCACCTTCATATCTTGCCTTTTCCCCCTGATTTGCCATATTATCCGCTAAGGTACCACTAGGATCGTCCCCTCCCTCCTTTTTCGGAATATCATGAGCTTCGATGGGATTTTATCTTTTGAATCCTTAGTATCATGTTCTATAATAACCTCCGATGTAGCTTTGTTTCCAAGATCTGGGTAGTTTGCTAAGGAAAACGATAGGAGTAAAGGTTTTTCATTCCCCATATAAAGATTGCTCATGCATAGTTGTTCACCTTTCTAACCCCACCCTCCTCGTCTCTTTCTCTACATGCTCATATTGTTTTTTCTCATCTTTATCCCTAAATTTGTAATACGCTATTTTTTTCACCCTCATGACTTGTTGCTCACTCACCGGTTCACTAGTTTACTCGATATGATTTCACTAGTTTTTTTCAATACTCTTGTTGCGGGATACATGATTTTTTATGAGACAAACCTTATCATCACGGTTTAGGAGGCCCATCACAGACAGCGGGGTTGCTAAGTTATTAAATATTCATCAGGAAAACGTTAAGAGTAGAGTTCTTCATTGCTACCCCATGCTTCATCGCAAACCTTGAATACTCATTGAATTGGTTAGCAAGCTTGAGCTACGGTATCATTTTATGTAGCTCCGATTTATTTCATCAAAGAATAGTCGCATAAGAGAGATTATTCGCCTCTATTATGAAAAAGGAATCATCCCATCAAACATCGATCCAGGATAAATATCGGTGGATGAGAAAACAATTGTTTCAAGGTGAACGCAAGCATAAATCAGGCCAAGATCACATGATTAAAGCAGCACACTGTCACGTCTATCTTCAGAGAAGATGCAAGATTCTTATCATGCAAGATCAAAGACGATATTGTTCGAGCTTATGAAGATTGGAAGACAAATGTTGGAACGTTTGATCCGACTGCTTTTCGAAGAGGAAGGGTGAAGATAGGAAGTTCGAATGGGGTTTCTTACTTAACCAAGAGTATTGACGTGGTTGATAAACAAATGGAGTGACATTGTTACTCTGCGCAACATGTCTTACACTCTGAAGTTCAAATTGTGGCTCACCAAGGCTCAACCGAGATCCCAGCATAGGGAAGAAGACGAGGCTACCTTTTGGGTGATTGTTGTTCAGGTTCCTCTTGACGGCATTATTTACCTGAAAAATCATATGAGAAGAGCGATCGGCTAAGTCAAGCTTACTCATCCGGCGGAACGAAATCGGATGAAGCTTTCACTGATAAATATAACGTTCAATCTGAATTTGACATGCATGCCGAATATGAAGAATAAGATATAAATTAATACCTTCGATGGAGATTCTCTATAAGTTAAGCTAGCCTTTACCGATATGCCTAGATATTGTCGTTGCAGAGATGTTTTCCACCTAGAAAATGAATGCAGAAGAGGCAATCAATTGACGCAGACGGTAGGTGGTAATGCTCAGGGGTATGGAGCGAATGCTGAAGAGCAAGTTTAGTCATTTGTTCCTCGCTATCAACTCCCTCTTGACCCACGTCCTCAATCACCAGCATCGCATGTGTAGGGTGGTACCTCGCAAGTGCAACAAGGAGGTACGCACGATAATATCCGTTTCAATCCGCTTGTATCCCCAGGGATCGGTCTTGGTCATGGTAACCTTCCTCCACATATGCTCGATCCTAATGATGCTAACTGGAATTAAGTTCATTCATATTTATAGAATGGTCACCCCTCCTACTTGCATCATTTGTCGTCAGCCAACTCTGCGTTTCATCCTTTCGGCTTCCTCCTTTTCATCAAGATCCTTCAACAGGAGTTGGAAATCGTCTTGCTTCGAGACCACCTGCAGTACCAAGGATGACCGTCAGTCGATTGATGACCAACAATACTCCAACTGCTGAAGTACATCCAACCAATATTCAGACATCACTTTCGTCTCAACGACTAACCTCAACCAACCCCTCTCCATCCAGGGATCCACTGAACAGAGTCAGAAGCACAAGACAGGGTAAGCAAAGACGTATGAGTTCTTATGAAGGTAATGAAGGTGAATCCTCTAAAATTAAAAGTGAGCACTCTCATTCCTAATTGACTTATCACAGTTTTTTATCCACTATCGGCACCCTCGGTAGCAAAACAACTAAACATAGAACTTTTATTACACTGAAAAAACGTTAGTTCAACAATTTTGAGATTCGTCTCCTCCTCTTGTCTCTCACGCAAACTCGAGATGTTGTTTGGTTTATTGCGTTTTCAAGCTCGGATGGGCAACGACATTGGTGAATATCTTATCTCCAGATGCACCTACGCCCAACTCCATTGTTAGGCTACTACGCCCTTCTATTGCTAACAAGTTTGTATTTAGATGTATTCCTGATGAAATCATGTCACTCTTTATTATTTACAATTCGCTTAATCCTAGGAATTTTTTTTTTTTTTTGTCTCAATGTGTGATGCGCGTTTCGAGAACGGGCAAATTGAAAATTCGGAGAGGGAAGGTATGCATCTGAAACTTTTGGATAACGAGTTCCGTTCAAACTTCTGATGGTAAAGGAACGAACATGACATACTTTTTTTGGTGAGACTCGTGAAGTCGATCGAGATTGACTCACCTGGCTCATTTGGAATAGGTAGTGGTTGTAGTGGTCTCAAAGGATTCTCATTAGAGGGTTTGTTCCTTTGGTAAACAAAACATGTTTGCATAAAGGTTAGTACACGAGTATAATAAGAGGCAAGTGATCACTATCACATTGATGGGAAAAACGTTTAGACATGAGGTTATGTTTATAAGGAAAGGTACAAGGCTACTTGCAGTGATCATGCAATTTAAATAGGGTAAAGTGATCGTTGTCCCCCTCTTTTACCGTTGTAGGTAAATAAAAATTTTATTTTAACATTTTATTTCCTTTTCGGTTTCTCTCATTCTTTCTTTTTTGGTGATTCTTTCTTAACGGGCTTAGTTGTTTTCGGGTCTCGGGGTTTCATGACGTCTTTCGTTAACTTTTCATGAGACTTTTTTTTTCTTCCCTTTCCTCCGCTATCTTTTCATGCACAACTTTATTTTTTACTTTTACAAGCCTTATCACCATTTGCGGTTCTGCGGTGACACTATCAATCTTGATTTATAGATGTGTAGGTAAGCCATCATGTTTTGCAACATAATAGCCACGTCAGTTTCTGAATCTCCAACATTGAGTTTTTGTTTTATTTTTTGTACTATTCTTGCTCGTTGCTCCTATTCATTTTGTTACCTCTGGTACTCTTATTTCTTATTCAATTATGCTTCCAATGTGTTGACACTATCGATCGTAATTTATAGATGTCTTAGGTAAGCCATCATGTTTTGCAACATAATCGCCACGTCAATTTCTGAATCTCCAACATTTAATTTTTGTTTTATTTCTTGAACTATTCTTGCTTGTTGCTTGTATTCCTTTCGCTGCCTCTGATATTCTTATTTTTCCTTCAATTATGCTTCCAATGCAACTTGCAACTGCTTAATTGTGTGGTTGATTATCTCTTTTGTCAATTCAGACTCTTTTTTTCGCTCGCTTGCTTCTCCTTTCCCGTCTTCTTTGGGCTCACCACCAACTATCTTGACAAATTGCTCAGCAATAAAGTGATTGAGGGACTTTCGTCTCTTTTCAATAGTCTGCTGTACTCTCTCACTGACCTCCAACATCTGAACAACAGTTTCAGCCCTTAAAAGTTCGGTTTTTGCAGCACGCAGATCGAACTGGATGCGAACATGCTGCTCAACATCTGACACAACGTCGTGCAATTTAGTGAGCAATTGCTGAAGACAGTCCAACTTTTGCTGCTGTTTTCCTTCCACTTGGCCACGGGTTCCCATTACTCCACTTTCTTCATCGACGAAGAAAGTGATCAAGATAATAAAGAAAAGGAGAGGAATGGATCGAGTAAGAATAAACGCTCGCAACCAGTTCCAGCGGTAGGTCATCTTCCCCGATGTGTCTACCGCACAATAAACTTTAAATAACAATTACAAATTTCACGGCTACACTTCAATCGAATTTCAAGGAATACAACAAGAAGAAAAAAAAAATCTACAAGAAAAAAAATCTCAGTTTTTATATATATAATTCTGGTGATTGTTCTTCTTTTGATGTTTTCCTATAGCTTGTCCACAGGTTCCGCAACCACGACTAGTGTGATCAAGACAACAACACTATAGTGAGTTTGTAGACATCCATAAGATAACCCACGACAGCTGAGTATCATCAATAAATCAGCAATATAACAATCAACAATGTGTTAGTTGATATTCCTCTCACCGTCCTTGCGCAAATGGTTGTATGTCCACTCAAAAGTTATGACGCGTGACACTACAACATAGTCTCATATTGTACAGTGAGTCCGCACAGGTGCAAGTAGTTCCCACCAATCTTCAGCGGATGGCAACGAAGTCATATATGCCACGTATCATACTCCAATCAAACCAAAGTGACACATCATCACGAGAGGTGCCACATCAGCATCAATGGCCAGTGAGGCAATCAAAAGTGAAGGTACTTCGTAGCCACGTAAGCATCAAGAGACTGCCCAATCCGTATGTGATCACTGAAATGTCAGTTTAAGTATGCTATTGCGTTTTTTATCAACTTGCTTGATTGATCAAGACTTATGTTTTTGGGGTTGGTTTTGTATTTTTGAAAAGTTATACTAAAAAAAAAAACGAATAAAAGTTATTTTAGGAAAATGGTGTATAACACATCTACCAGGAGGAAAACCAAACACTTGCGCGCCCATAGGCAGTCGAATTAAACTGAAATTTTTCAAATATTCAAATCTTGATACAATAATTTTTCCTAATAATAAATTGAATGAAAAGTTAAACTGGTGGACCGTAGTCAAACGTGCGTCAACCTGGTGTGTTGCTGCTTCTTCGGAAATCTCACGTCAACAGGTAAGTCGTGATACTTCAGTAAGTGTCACATCAGACAATGTAACCCTCTACTTCTTCATTTAGTGCCACGTCAGTACGACTCGTCATGCCATGTAAGCAATGCATCTCCCGAAGCCACGTCAACAACTCTCTCTCTCTCTCTCTCTCTCTCTCTCTCTCTCTCTCTCTCTCTCTCTCTCTCTCTCTCTCTCTCTCTCTCTCTCTCTCTCTCTCTCTCTCTCTCTCTCTCTCTCTCTCCAGATCTTGCCGATTGCCCAACGCCATGCCAACGTTATCTCACTTACGGTGTCAGGTCCATGTCATCATCATATCGTCATCATCATCAGATAAATCTCCCGCGTCAAGTTGTCAAGTGCGCCATAAAAAAATGTGCGCGTGTTCAACAATGCGATATATCAAGGTGTGCGAAGTGTGAAATCAAGTACACGATTAGTATATCACTGCGCGATACTGCGCAGATCAACAAATAACGACGAATGGAGAACGCCGCTCCGATACCATATTGCAATGAACCTAGTCAGATGGAAAGCTTGTCAATGTCTGAACACAAAACGTCTTAACGCATTTTCAATGCCTTTGAAATCATACTTGTAATTAGATAGGCCACTATCACATGATCAGAAAAGAGACAGATGGGAGGGAGAAAAAACTTAGAGGGTGGAAGAGAAAGTACTCGTTAACTTGGCAGATACACCTCCCTCACTAGCCCACTCCTTTGGGCATCCCCTACTCGCCACATTAATACACAGTCTCCTTTGACAGGCTCTGACAATAAACAAATCTTATAATGATGCACACCATGTAGACTCGTCTGAAGATGAACAACAATGCGCAATATCAACACAAACGCATACATGTAAGCTTTCCGTAAGATCAATTAATCTCACAACCTTGATCCTCCTCCTTGTAAGCATCTCATTAATGTTATAGACAGTGTGTCGAGAGCTACGTTAACATAATATGGTGCTCAGCTGGCACTGTAGACAATGAAGGCGTCAACACTAAGCAGTAGCAGTCTCGCATCCTCGCATCAGCGTAGTGCCAGTGTCAAGCCAACGTTCATCCAACGTCCATCCAGTGTCAAGAAGCATGTGCAAGACTGAATGTCGTTCAGTAGGGGCTGGGTCAACATATAGTGTTCACTCCCATCGACGAGCCTCTGGCTTCTCATATGCGATGGTCCAAATTGACTCGCAATCAATGGCATGGATCCCATATAATTGCATGTTCTCACTTGGACTTGATTCTTGAGAGATACCTGCAAACAACCAAGTGTGTGTATCTGATCGGTGGCCTGGTCTGGGTCCGTGTTGACTTTGACTCGTGAGCTTGAATTTCCGAGCTCCTGTTGACCTTCGACTTTTCATCATACGTTGGGCCTCTAAAGGCCAATTTTAGGCCTTGCTTCGAGTACCCTACACTTCAACCCTTAGACCAAAATGACAGGCAATTTTCATGACTTGGGTAGACAATTTTCATGACTTGGGCCAACACAGGCAGTCTACAGGTCTAATGTCCATCGCAATTTTCATGACTTAGGCAATTTTCATGACTTGGGCGTGGATGTTGACCCATACTTCAGCCCTTAGACCAAAATGACAATCCATAACCAACGACTAATGCATGATTTGAGTTAAGTTATTGCACTTTCTTGGCTCCTTTCAGAAGTAGCAGTTATATCGTACAGTTGAGCCCAGGGCTCAAATGGTTGCACCCTGGGCACACGCACTGAGAGGCCAACACATGACGTAGAGACCGCAAACCAATGAGAAAGCAGCTCCAATGTCTCTCATATGCTACGAGCCAATCAGATCGCTCCAAACACGTGGAGTCTGGGAAGCTGCCTGGACATGCCTAATTGCACGGCGCCTAGGTCCACGCAGTCAGATACGGGGCCGCACTTTCCATAATAAAAAAAAGTCATGCCCAGGCGGGATTATTATGGCCAAACAGAGTCGTGTGGCAAGGCTGCTGCATTAACGCATGAGCAGCTACGCTAAGTTGCGGGCTAGACGCACCGGGCCTTGAGATGAGAGGGGTATTGTTGAGGCAG